CCCCCCCCCCTCATTGACTCACCCCTCACAATAATCACAGCTCTTCCTTCATCTCTCTGTCTGTTGTATCTTTTGTCCTCCTCCTTTCTTCCCTCTAGATTTCTTATCTTCTCATATCTCCTATTTTTATTTCTTCACACTCTTGTCTCTGCTTTCTTTCGTTCCGTCTGTTTCTCTCCTTTTCTTATAGTTGTTTTAAAATGTGGTTCACTTTCATTTAATATAGCCATGTTTTATTTTTACTATTTCCCTGTTGTCTGTTGAATTACAAGAAAAACCGTAAAAAAATAATTTCAAAAGTCATGATTTGAAATGAGGGGCTCTCCCTATCAGGGTGTTACGGTTCTAAATGAAGGTCTGCAAGAAAAAAAATGAATTAAAATATCTAATATGTCTCTCTCTCTTTGTCTCTCAACAGGCGACCTCTCATAGCTCGGCCATGTTGACCAGTGAGGGGGCGCACACCATGGAGCAGGAAGAAGCCCACCACGGAGCCAAGATTGCAGCCACAGCGACCACCACCACCGCCAGCTCCGGCTCAGAGACGATGACCGACGTGGACATGGAGACGGAGATGGACGACGCAGACATGACCCGGTGGACGGAGGCCGAGTTTGAGGGGAAGTGCACGTACATGGTCAAGGATACGGACGGCGACGCCATGACGACGACGAGAGCGGAGGCCTCGCTGCCCCGAAACCTCGCCTTCAAACACCCGGCCGACAGCAAGGAGGTCAGTCAGAAACACACACACACACACACACACACACACACACACACACACACACACACACACACACACTGAAAAAACTGTAGCATTGACTTTAATTAAATGTTTCATGTAAAAAAAATCACATAGCTGTATTAGGTTGGCTGAAAGCAATAATAACATAAAGAATAATAACTGAGTTGAACCTATTTATACTTAAGATTATTACTGTCAACTAACTTAAAACTGTGATGTGTAATCCGTTGACATAATACATTTAATTAAAGTCAATACTTCAGTTTTTTCAGTGCACACACACAGAAACTTTCTCTACAGTCTCCATTATTCTCACACCATCTGCACACACTCGTGAGTCAGATGTCGGTCATGTAATGAAGAGGGGGTCTTGTCTCGCCATAAAATTCCACACACACACACACACACATTACAGACAGGAATCTGTGTGAGAGTGAAACGCCTGAAGCAAAAACACACAGAAAAAATCTCATGCATTACATGTCACGTCAGACGGCTGCAGTTCCTGTGCCTGCAGACAGGGGGCGAAGTTTCTTTTAAATCACGCCAAACGGCAGATTTGTTTTTGCCCCTTAGTGACATTTAATGAGGTTTTAATGTCAATTTAAACGCCTCAGATTTTCACAAGTTAAATATGTATTGCCCTTTAAGGTTTTTGTATTTAAAAAGGAATCTGTGTGCTTTGAAACCTGGAGATTTGATGGCAAATTGGACACATTTTGAAAGGCAGAAACAGTAGCTTGTAAGATCACAGATGACTTGTGGTGAGAAATCCCAGTTTTTGTTACCAGGCAGAAAAAAAAGATCTGATTTGCAAGACCCATTTCCTCTGTAAATATTTCTTAACTAAACAAACAGCAACCTTGTGACTTTTTTCACAAAGCTGCACCGATAAAGTTCTAGCCATCGATCCAACTGGAGGTTAAAAAGTCAAAATGTCAACGCGTCAAAGGTTGAAACTGAGGTGTGATAACAGCGAGGGACAGAAAGGTTTCTCTGGTAAAATGAACGAGTGAAAAACAGAAGGGGGTTTTGAAAGTTGAAACATAAGCATTAAATCACAAAAAACTTTAATTATAAAACTAAGAAACACAAGACGAATGGGAACAAAAACATTCAAATGAACCTTAAAAACTATAATGTATGTATATTAAACAGATTTTAAGTACTTTGAGTAAGTCCCCTGATGTTACGGTGGATTTAAGCGTTGTTTCTCAGACTGCAAGTCAATGGGGTTGAGGCCATTTTCACACTTTTTGAGTTTGTTTGCAAGCTTTAAGTGGCGTGATCGCATAGATTTTCTCATCAGGGGCTTATCTGCTGCTGCAGGAAACTGAGGAAAGAAGCAGGGAGAGAAAGACGCTGATATGCTATCAGCTAACATTTATCTGGACCCGGAGAGGAAGAAGGGAAAGGCTGAGGATGGGAGTTTGATCAAAGAAGATTTGGGTCAAAGGAAGAAGCATTGTAAAAGTCTGTTAATAAGTCAAAAACACTTCATGTCTGGAGAGGGGGGGGAGAAAGGGGGATTTCCCATGTCACCAGGGGTTTGGAAAAGAAGCCTGTTTGTGTGCGCCATGCATGAATAAAATGTGTGTGTGTGTGTTTCTCCACCATTCACGACTGGAGCCTGGCGTCTAGTCGCTACATAATCCCTCTCTCTTCTCTCACTCATCCTCCCTTTTTTCTTCTTTGATTGAATTAGGAAATAAACAAAGGAGAACACTTTTTTCTTTTTGAGTATTTGGATGTTATTTGAAGCTTCTGAAGGAGCAGCAGTTTTAGTTTGATGTGGCGACGAGTGGAGGTGTGACGAGAGAAAGAGAGAAGAGGTTTTACAGTTTTTCCTACAACCACACACACACACACACTCTGAATGAAGTGTGAAGTGGGTCCATTAATCATCGTGTGAGTTGACGGCTGATTGAACATATAAGACTTAATTAGACTGATGGATTTGCACAACAGCATGAAACACACACATTCCACAACTACAGTAAAAACCTTATTGTCCATGTGTGTTATTTTAAAGAGAGCATCGTATTTCCATGAGCAGTTCATAACAATCTATCATTCTGTCATTAAAAGCATGTACATTTGACTTTAGCCATTCACCAGACACTTTGAAGGCTGCACACGTCACACACTTCAAACAGCCCTCCGATCTCTTGTGTAACCTGTGTGTGTGTTTCTGTGCAGGTTTTCGGTGTGTGCAGCAGGGAGTACATCCCCAAAGGAACTCGCTTCGGACCCCTGGTGGGCGAGATATACACGGCCGACAGCGTGCCCAAAGACGCCAACCGGAAGTACTTTTGGAGGGTGAGTCCTCAAACAGAAAAACACACACACACACACTTCCTCAGAAGCAGGAGGGTCCCCTTCCTGTGACGTCACACACGTCTTCACTCAGTGGAACAGGAAACGGGGCTCGCTGTTTTTTCTGTGTTGTTGAGACAGAGAGATGGGGATGTGATGTCACATTCGCACAAATAACATGTCACAGTGTGGTTCCTGTAAGTCCAAACACACACACACACACACACACACACACACACACACACACACACACACACACACACACACACACACACACACACACACACACACACACACACACACACACACACACACACACACACACACACACACACACACACACACTGTTTGACACTCTCCATCATACCGGTAAATTCTGAGTGAGAGTACACACATCTGTGCATGAAGAGAAAGAATGACCATGCTTCCAACCACAAGAAAGCGGTTCCATTCATGCTCATATCTCACTTTCTCACACACACACACACCCACACACACACCCACACACAGAGAAAGAGGTTAGGTTAAAAGAGTTGGTTCTTCACCCCACTGTCCGTCTGAGGCAGGTGACGATTAAAAAAATATGGAGAAATTAATGAGGAAGGTTCAGTTCACTTTCTCCATTTTGTTGCGCCTGTCATTACACGGTACTTCATTTAGTCCTTAAGTCAGTGTGTCAGCAAAGTCCTTCAAAGGAATTAAATAATGATTTTCCTTAAACTCACACCTCTTCCCTCTCTCGCTCCAGATCTACGAGGACCGGGAGTTCCACCACTTCGTGGACGGGCTGGACGAGAGCCGCTCTAACTGGATGCGCTACGTGAACCCGGCCCACTCAGAGGCGGAGCAGAACATCGCCGCCTGTCAGAACGGGATGGAGATCTACTTCTACACCGTGAAGCCCGTCCCCCCCGGCACCGAGCTGCTCGTCTGGTACTGCCACGACTTCGCCCGGCGCCTCCACTACCCGCCGTCCGGGGAGCTGATGATGCAGAAACTAAGTGAGTGTCTATTCTGTCTCTTAAAGAAGAAAAAAAGGGAAATAATCAGACTTTAATTTTGAAAGGACGGGGGATTTTTGTTTTATTGCTCTAACTTGGTTTAATAAATAACATAAAATCAATAGACAATGCAGGTGTGTGTTAGGATGTGTGTGTGGGTGTGTGTGTGTGTCTTGAGTGGGTCCTGTCGCCGCTCTTAAAGCCTAACAGTGTTTTAGAGTGTAGCCGTGTCTCCTTCCTCTCTGCATGTTAGCCTGTTATTATCTCACACACACACACACACACACACACACACCACCCTACAAGATCAACAACCTTTCATCTGTGTGTGTGTGTGTGTGTGTGTGTGTGTGTGTGTGTGTGTGTGTGTGTGTGTGTGTGTGTGTGTGTGTGTGTGTGTGTGTGTGTGTGTGTGTGTGTGATTACACAGACAGGGGGATATGGCCCCTAATGCCACAGTCTTACACACTTAAAGACCCCGCTTTTAACATGAAAGCTCACATTCACACACACGGCCTTGCTCAACCTCAATAAAAGGAGCAGAGAGAGTGTGTGTGTGTGTGTGTGTGTGAGTGCATGACTGTCTGTGAGTGACCTTTTGATGAGGAAAAAGGTCTAAAATTCAGCGCCAAATTTCTCCTTTACTCATCAAAAATACTTTTGCTTTTCTTATGTTAACTTTCAAAAAAACTAAATTAGCCCCTGCTGCTAATATTCACCAAAAAACTAAATATACACATTTTAAAATAACATCATAAATGACAATTATTTTTAAATGTATGTTATTTGTTTGGCAGAATCAGAAAAAATTAGCTTTGGTTTATAATGGCATTATAGTAAGAGGAATAACTTTTTTAATAAAGCAACAAAACAAACATTTAAAAATTAAGAAAAACATATTAACAAGATCAAATCAAGTTTTATTTATATAGCACATTTATAAAAGATTTTTGGTCGAGCCAAAGTGCTGTACATATAATAAAAAATAGCCTACAGTAGAGACACTTTACAGCTAATACAATAAGCACAGATTGTTCAGTATTTAGTTTAAAAATTAAATGTTATATTGTAAATTAAAATAATAAGCAATACTTATATAATAAAAATACATGCAACATTGAAAGTGGAAGAGCTGTGAGGCAGCATTAAACAAACAGCAAGCTAAATATAAAAACTAATGTGCCTAACTTATTAGATATATATTGATTAACTCGTTTATTTAACACAGAGACATTGCACATGTAAACATTGTTCTCTATATGAACCAATAGGCTCATCATCTGTTAACCCTGGACATATATTGCAGTCCCCCCTTAAAACGAATTATCATAGATGAGAATGAGCTTTTCAGTGCAAAGGGGCACAGATGTGTGCATGCAGGAGTGAAGTCACATGACACAGCGCACCAACTGCACTTCAGCTGTGGATCAAAGGGAGGGGGAGCTGAGCGGGAAACAATGAGAGGGGCTCAGGGGCTTCCAGGTGTGACTGCAGGCTAATGGCAGTGTAAAGGTGGAAGGGGATCCAAAGACCCAGCCTCAGCGACTCCACTGCCCAGGGAAAAATGCGCATGACCTGGGGGAGAGAGGCAGGAGGTATAGCCTCAAACCCCCCC